CCGGCTAAGCGATTGCTTGAGGCGATCGGCACTTTGGTATTTTTTAGTGCCAACCTAGCTTTCCAAAATACTCCAGACACAATAGTCCAACGGATTGGTATCCGGAGATTTTGGTGGCCATTGTGCGCTGGAAATGAAGCGAGGAACCTCATTTTGTAACTCTTCATGGGTGGCGCGTGCTGAGTGCGATGGTGCTGATTCCTGTTGGAATGTCCAAGGTCTGCGGCCAAAATGTTCGCGTACCCAAGGCGAATATTCTCTCATCGGAGAAAACCAAATTCGGCTGTTCAACACTTTTGGCCAGCAACCAGCAGCTCTATAACTCTTTTGAGTCTATTTTCTTTCTGTTGTGGAGTAAGTTCTTGGACTTTTTGGAATTTCAATGGCCCGATTTAACCTGCGCTCATTTTACAATATTTGCGGAATGGAATATTGCGATATATGTTTAACTCACGAGCCATTTTTATATGTGGAAGTTATAGCTATATCAAAACCGATTTTCAACAAATTTGATTTCTAAAAAAATTCAGGTCATTCAGACTTATATTGGCCATTTGGTGCACAATTAACCCGAAATCGGTTACTGATATATGGGAGCTACGTCTAAATCTGATCCGATCATCACCAATATCAATAGAGTTCCTACTTGGGACAAAAAAAATGTTTGAAAATTTTCATCTCAATCGGATAATAAATGCGACCTGCATTTTGTTCACAAGAATACATGGACGGACTGACTGCATAATTAAACTCAGAAAGTGATTATATGAATATCTTCAAAAGTAACTATGAGCTGTGTAGTTTTTTTTTTTTTTTAATTCATTATTTGAGAACAATTAAATTTTCTACCTCTACAGTTTCCATGGTTTTTCTCTATTCTACTTCCATTCACTTTCTATTTTACGTTTTTAAGCCATGTCCTGAAAAATTGTACTAAAATCTAATATATTATTATTAAAAACTTTCCTAATTCCTCATTTTATTTCATGACATCTCTTATATTTACATTCCTCCGAAGCAATCAAAAAAATATTGGGGGGCGAATAAAAATTTCCTGCAATGGCAACTCTGTTGACAACGAAACAAAAAATACATGCATTGAAGCACTTCAAGAGGGAGAAAATGACTGCGTAAACAAGTTGGTGAGAGAGATACAGAGCAAACCAAAAAAGTAAACGTCATATTCAACTCTTGCTAAGAGATCTCTCCCAGATTTTTCCGGGATTTTTGTTGAAAATGAAAACAAATTTTGACAGATTGTCGATGTGTTTTCATAAAAGAAAAAAAAAACACGAAATCACAGGTAAAATGTCAAATGGGAAGAGATTATTTGGCGCATCTCCACGCACGCACACACACGGAGACTACATAACGACGATGTTGACATTAGCAGTGATCCAAGACAAGTACAAAAACAACTACCAGAGAATCCAGTTATAATTGAAACATGAAATGAGGAGATAAAACTGACAAGTCCCCAATGGGATGGATTGATTGTGGGATGGACTTACCTCTTGTTGTGGGGGGCGGCGAAAAAGGTTTTCAATTTTTGCCGTCAACGACGAAGAGACACCAACAGCGCCACCAGCCAACACGAAGAATTTTAGGTCTTGTTTTCGGTATCTTCTCTTACTCCAAATGCCGTTAGGTTATTTTAATCTTGGCCAGAAGAAAATTATGCACTTGTTTTTAATACCAATAGCTTCTTTCAATTCGATTGCCCAGATTCCAGTTATACAAATGTGGATAATTTTGATTTCGAGATTTGTTGATGTTTTTACATAAAAATTGTATTAATTAATTTTTCAAGTTAACAGCAAATGCAAGATAACCCTTTTTCGGTTTGCTGCTTCAACTTGCCACACACTCAACAAAATCCAATGCACAGGTTTTTTCTATTACCACCCCCTTTTTTTCTTCGCTAGGTTGTTTTTGCGTTTTTTTTCTTCTTCACTACCAAAAAACGAGGTTTTTTTATATTGCTCTTCTTTATTATATATTACTTTTCTTCTTCACTTAAAATTTATATACACCATAAATTTGATTTCTTTAAATTTGTTTTCTTTTCACAGATAATTTTGTTTTCAATTATTTCAAATCAATTTTGTTTTATTTTATTTCTTCTTGTTGTTACATTTGCTAGTTATGCCATGCATGCACACCACACATATGTGTATATTTGTTGAACGTTGTACAACTAAAATAAAAGAAGAATGTACAATAAGAAACAAATTAAGAACGCGTTAATGGCGGAGACTGCCGTCGTCTACGAATTCCACGTCCACTCACGTCAAAATCAAAATTCAAATAAAAATTTCTTTGCCGACCAAGTCGGTATGTGAAACAGAGAGATATGTGGAAAGAGCAGAGAGAGCGTCAGCAAAGGGAGTGTGAAAGAGAATACGACAATGGAGAGGCCAACAACAGGGCCCGTGATTTAATTTTTTAACGGCGACAACAGGTTTAACTACGTTCTCTGCACTTGCTCTCTTTAGAAACTCTCTTGAAAATTTTGTAAACAAGTGTTTTTCCATGATTTTCCAATTGGATTGTGACAAAAAGGTATTGGAATTGCTTTATGTAAAAATATTTTAACCATGTTTGAAAGTAAATTTATGATTTATTTCAAATGTTTTCAATGAAAACAACGAAAAGGTGTGATCTCAACGTATATTTTTTAAACTCTCTGCCAAGTGGCCGCCTTTTTAACAACAAAATCCCATTGGTATAGCTAGCTCATTCGCACATTTGTTGGAAAATGTATACAAATGCAAACGAAGTGATTATCAGGTACTTTTTTATTAGTGGGATTCGCATTGTGACATTTGTTGTACGAAAGCTTTCTTAAAACATAAAACACGTCATTTTGATTGTTGATACCAAAAAATATGACAAAAACACATAAAGCAAATTAAAAAATAACAGTCGGTTTTGCCAACATATGTATACCCTCAGCTTATGACTGTTTATTAAAATAAGTTAGTTTAGACTTACATTATGATAATTTAGAGGGAAGTATGTTGATTTGCGTTAAGAGGGATATATGCTTTTGCAAATTTTGAACCTTTGTGGGAGAGGTACCAGAAGAGGTAGGCCAATATCTATAAAATCATGGTAGAACTAAGAAGATAAAGTCATTCAATCACATGTTTACAATTTTTTTTTCAAATTTATGCCTTTGATAACATCTCATTGTAAATCTATTTATAAATCTATAGTATACAGGGTGAGATGAAAAAACTGCAACCAATTTCGGACTGCCGTCATTTCTAAGTCACTCGTCCGACAGCTGTTAAAATTATTACAGTGACAGCTCATTATATTGTTTACAAGTGTGCAAAAGCATTTTGGTGAGAATTTCCAAGAAAAAAAAAACTATTCGTGATGTGGTTCAAGCGTGATAGTGTGATTTCTTTATATTTGGCTGGAAAACCACAAGTGGCTATCGTTAGAGCACTCCAGCATTTAAATGTGAATAAATCTTTTGTGTCTCGTAACATCCATCGTTAACGTGATACTGGTAGCGTAGCCCGACGTCAAGGAAGTGGACGGAAGAAAGCAGCAACATCAGCAGAAATGGTTCGAAAAGTAAGGAAGCGCCTTGATCGAAACCCGTGTCGCAGTGGCCGAAAAATGCCTCGTTAGCTGAAGATATCGCAATATTCCATTCGGCAAATATTTAAAAATGAGCTCGGGGTAAACCATTGAAATTCCAAAAAGTGCAAGAACTTACACCACAACAGAAATAAAATAGAGCTAAAGAGTTGCTTCCCTTGGCCGAAAGTGGTGAACTGTGAACTGCCGAATACCAAAGTGTCGATCACCTCAATTAAGCGTTTCGCCGGGAATGGACCAAGATACAGCAGAGGGCCGTTTGAAGACCATAATTCGCGTTAAAGGTGACCAATTCGAACAAATCTAAACTTATTCTAAAAATTGCTATTTCCGACATTTTTTGCTTTCATTCAATAAAATTTAAAAAAAATGTAAAAATTATGGCTTTTGACTTTGGTTTCGTTTTTTATTTCACCCTGTATACCCTCTGTTGCCATATGGCGGAGGGTATAAAAGTAGAGGTAATTAAAGAAAAAATCATGGTACAATAAGGAGGTAGAACGGCTTTGTGAAACTACAGAAATACAGCAATGAAGCTAGGCTCACATCCAGTCAGAATTATTCAAAATTATATCATTTATATTGTCTTTTTTCTGCAAATGAGTAAAAATGTATATAATGTTTGGATTTTCATTAAAAAATATAATCCATTCTGTACAATCTTTCAATTCTATGGCAAAAATGATTATTAGCTTTAATGCGCGCTGCGCAATGTGCGTTTCTTTAATCAATGATTTAAAGGAAACAAATATTTATGATGTATCCAAATTCTACCTCCTCTTATTATACCAAGCATACGTGCAAAGTAGCAGAGCCCTTATTGGAAATCTTAAAATTACTTTTTCCAGCCCTGCAATTCTAATTCTAATCTGGACTTGGCATCACTTTCTGCGAGAATTTTGTGTTTTTGCATTTATTCCACATTTGTTTATTCTTATACTCCTATCACTTGGTACGAACATTTTCCATTAATTACATTTTTCCATTTTTACATTTAATAACACTTTTAATCATGGCTGTGCGACCCAATTTGTTCAAATATTACTTGTTATCCATGGGAAATGCCAACTTTTGATAGTTGCGTAGGTATAACTAGATCGATTTTTGGTTTCTTTGATATCGGCGTGCTATTGTGATATCGATTTTTCAAAGTTGTTTTTAATGAAACAATGAAAATGAAAAAAAATTAGTTTTGTTAGCAAAAAATGCTTTTTAAACTTTATCATTGCGTAATTATGGTTAAAAAGAGGTTTTATATTTAAAGTTAAATAGAAATGCGAAAAATACAACCGCTCGTGGTAATCCGACCATTATGAAATCGATTGCTCGATTATTTCCTTTTACTTTTCGATTTATACCAACTGAAGGTCGCAAGTCGATTGAACGATCCCTATCCACTTTGCCAATTTCGCAGCTGAAGTTAAACGTGTGGAATATTTTGGCTGCACAAAAATTAGTTGTTATTCTTATTGCGAATTAACAAAAACAACATTGTTTCGTTAATTATTTTTATTAATTGCAAAACGAAGCAAAAATCGCGAATTTCTTAAATATTTCCACACGGGTGGCATCAGTTAATGCGCGTATTGGTGGTCTATCGTCGTTTGTCTTGCAGCAGAAAAAACAACAACCCACGTAACAAAAAACACGGGGAGAGCAGCAGCTGTGGTGCTTAGCGAAGTGAAAACACACAAGAAGCAAAAAATAAAACGAGAAATCTTCATTGTCGTACCATAGAAACGTGATCAGCAGCAGCAGAAACAAAACAAGAACGAAATTTATTTCCTATTTTTTGTCGCAAATTTTAAGCAAGGAATTTATTTGTGTTTTTGTTTTTCCATAAATGTGCTAAAGTATCCCTAAGTTCGAGAAAAAATTTCGCACATATTGCCAAAAATAGAAGAACTACAGTGTATGAAGTGAAGTGACAGAGGATAAGAAAAAAACATCCTTGAAAAAAGCATAGCAAAAAATCTGTCATTTATTTCTTAATTTGTAACTCGTGGTCTTTTCGGTTCTTGCTTCGGTGTTCTACGTAGTCTGCCAGCGAAAAGAAAAACATTCTAAAAACAAACTTATTTAAATAAGTAATAGCAGCAGAAGTATCAGCAGTTTCATGGAAGACGTCATTGTTGTCAGCAGCGATTCATCATCTAACAGCTCCTCCGACATGGAAATCGAACCAACTGAAATTGAAAATACCAGCTGTGAAAGCATTGTGCCCAAGGACAATGCAACGTAAGTAGCCAACAAACTAAAGCAATTGATTAGAATGCATTTAATGCAAACATAATAAGATATACAAACATAAATGTTGTATCATCATACAGGAAAAAACATGCTTTGTCATATTCTTCCACTGCTTGGCCAGCAGTAAAACATTAACAACAAAGTTTGTTCTGGCCACACTTGTATTGGGTGTTGTGAAATATTGTGGAATACAGGGAGAGAGAGAGAGAAAGGGGGAGAATGAGTTATTTCCATAATCACCATCATCATCATTATTATCAAGAAAACCTACATAAAGAATATGACGTAGAAACATTTTTCAATGTCATTTACATAGACTTCATGGGTTTTTTTTATATAATCAGGGAATGGTTCCTTTCTTCCCACACGAACGCACACACTCTCACAACGTGAGATGACTCCCACACAAAATGTATTTCATTTCTAGTTACCGTTAATTTTCTCTTTTTGAAATACAACAAAAGGTAAACAAAGTTCTTCAAACAAGCATTTTTATGTTATGCTTTGCACACAGTTTTTCTTATAAGTGGGTTTGTTATTGTTGTTTTCTTATTTGTTTCTTTAATTTTACCATTGCCCCTTGAGTCGAGTGCAATGGTGATTTTTGTTTGTTTATTTATGTTGCTCTCTCTCTCGCTCACGTTGCATTTCTTGTTTTTGTTTTTTTTTTCGACCCGTGGTATTGTTCCAATTGGAATTTTCCCTTTACCGTTGGGAGAGTTGCATTTTAATGTTGTGTTATTTTTTGGAGAGTTGAGTGCAGTGTTGCCATATGAGATAGTGTTGTTCTTAAAGAAGTGGTTTTCGGAAAAGTAGGACAAAGGAGGAGAAAGAGGTAATAAAATAAATTTATATTTTGTGGAGAAAACATTTAGAAGGTTTATTTATAGAAAATGATTAAATGGAAGGGTAACAATTTATGATGCCAGAATTTCCTTTCGAAATCATTTCTAACAGATTGACAAGTAAGAAAAAGTTAAAACTTTTAATACTTTAAAGCTTATAAATAAAAAAGTAAGAAAAAATTAATACTTTTCAGAATAAATTTAAAACTTGGCCATTTTGGAGGGATACGATCTGGAGAAACTCTTTTATGTGTAGAAGTATTGTATTAAAATCTCCCAAAGGGTTTCTTTATGTAGAAGATCCCTATACATTTCTATAGAAGGACGTCTAAAATAATTTCTATAAATGGAGGACTTAAAGAAGGTCCTTCATTTTTGTAAATTCTTTAAGAAGATTTCCAGAAAATCTTTTTTCTACAAACGTCCTATAGAATCGGTTTTGTTGATGGTCTTCCATGTATATCCGTTTGTAACTCATCGAAATAATCATTTGAGGCCAAATCAAATATGAATATTTTTGATCAGCAGAAAAATCTGTTGCGATTTTAAAATGTCAGAGGGACATGTCACTTTGACTTTCGAAGGGATCGACCTAGATTGCCACCAGAAGATTTTCAGCCCCTTTAGAAGGATTTCTATTATTAAAGAAGCAACTAGAGAGTGCATATTTTCTCCAGGGTAACCCAAGGGACAATATTACGTTTTCCGAACTGTAGTTGACCAACCGCTTTGTAACAATGCCGAAAATACTCATCTGCAAGGAAACTCAATCTGAGATATGGTCACCAACCACTATTTTTCGCCAACTACGGCATTGACATGTAGTTCCTGGTTTGACGGTGTTACAAACACAGCCATCCCAATCACCATTTGGTTGAAGGTTGAACCCCTATCTCGCGGAGCTTGTCGTATACTTCCACGCGAGAAATATGAAAATATGGTCTGCGGAGATAAAAACACAGCTGAATGTGCAAGTCGAGGGAAATTTAATACCGATCACGAACTACACCAAGATTCTAGGGTTCACATTCGACAGCATGTCGTCCGCGCAAGCCACAGCTTTCTATGGAAGCACATCCAGACCTGCCGTCTATCCGTCTGTGGAAATCACTCTAGCTTCTGAACGAAATGAAGTAGGTTGATAAAATTTTACTCAAATGTATATAATGGCTGCATGACTTTTGGTATTGAAAATGCCCTCATATAATGGTACCTCCCTATTTTCGGTATTTTGGTGATTTAAGCCACATTATTCACCGGAAATGTTTCAAATTTGGTATTTGAAGTTCATAATGGATACTAAAGTCTATGACAGATAATTGTCCGTGAAGGTCCACGTTTTCGTATAGCCCCCGTTTAATGGTACCTCCCTATTTTCGGTATTTTGGTGATTTAAGTAACATTATTCACTGGAAATGTTTCAAATTTGGTATTTGAAGTTCGTAATGGATACTACAGTCTATGACAAAAAAAATTGTCCGTGCAGACCCACGTCTTCGAATAGCCCCCATATAATGGTACCTCGCTATTTTCGGTATTTGGATAATATTAGCGACATAATTCACCGGAATTGTTTTAAATTTTAGTATTTGAAGTTCCTAACGGATACTACAGCCTATAACAGAAAATTGCTACATTTGGTATTTTGAATATCTTAAAAGAATTTTAAACGGATTTTTTTTTTTTGAAAATTGCCAAATTTGTTCCAAATGATGTAGGATATTCAAAGTTCGGCTTTTTTACTAGTTGAACTTGGGGTTAGAAGTAGGGCCAGGTTAGAGATATAAGTCAGAGTAAACACTGCAGACACGTCTCTACAAGGTTCGCCTCTACGATCGCCAAGGACAATAATTTTACCCAAGCAAGACGATTGAATTCCAGGTTAACTGTAGTCAAATGGATGCTCTTAGTATCAAACACGCAAAAGGGAAAATCTTCACACTAAAGATATCTGACCACATACGAGTAATATTCATCGACAAGGACGATGCTGGGTGGATCGTTGGGTGGTTTAAAGGGGATTTTTTTAGATTTCAAGAAATTTGAGATTGGAGTCTACATTAAACCAGCCTTAAAAGCCTTTGTTTTTTTTTTTTAATTCCTAATCGCATCATCTGCTGTCAGTGTGTTTGTCAACGCTTCAGATTGAGTATCGCCAGCCTTTTTATAGCAAGTTGTTGCTGTGAAGGGCAGCATTTCAATCCTGGGTTTCATTTTTGGGGATGTTTTTTCTCGACTTTTAAAAATACCTTGATGAAAATTTTAATTAGATTTTTTTTTTGTTTTTGGTGAGTTTCAGATCTTCTGTGTCAATGTGCTTCCTGCAAAAAATTAACGACCTTCGTACTTCAGTTTCCCCGAAATCGACAAAAACTAAGCTGCAGGACGTTTGCTGTCAAATATATATACTCACACAATACAGATCTCCATAAGCGGAAGAAGACCGATGTCCTTGTAAGGGATAGAATATGAAAATCTCCGTGGGGGACAAAAGACCGAAGGTTCTGTCTGGGGCAGTGTGGGACTCATTTGTGTAACATATGTCAATAACTCACATCACCATTTAAAAATCATCAGAAACTGTTGAATTTGGCATCAAGATTTTAACCTAGATCCGCTGACTATCCGCCATTCCTTATTTAGATTTGAATTTAACCAAAATGTTTAATGGATTTTCAAATATCCGCAATCTGACGAAAAGTTCGAAACGAATCGGCTTCTTAAGGAGGACATAGAAAACTTATAGACCTATGTAGGTGATTAAGAGTTATTTTACTTTTATTAGACTTATTCGATTTTCTATACCGGAATTTAATTGTGCCTCTTCTTTAACCTTTACTGACCCTTTACTGAATATTTTTTACTTTCTCGACGTAATTTTTTCCTAATCAACTTCTCGCCCAGGTGATTCATTCAGCATTTTGATGAACGATGTTTTAATTCAATTTTCTTCTTTTTTGCACTTCCACTTCTTTAATTAGTTTTGAATGAATGGCGGTGGTGATGGTGGTGGTGGCTAGTACCGCGCTACTGCTAGCCGTAGTAGTGATGTGATGCGGTACACAGGTGCAACCAAGTAAATGAAGAAAGTCGCTGCTCCATCTAATGAATAAATGAAATAAAGATTTGGAAAAGAAAAGTGACTAAGAAGTTAATTCCCATGCTGGTTGCATTTGTTTGCTTAAGACTTACATACATATGTATGTATGTATGTAGATGTGGAATTAAGGCCGAGGAGGAGGAGGAGGAGAGGAAAAAAAAACTTCTTCATCATTCTGGATGATACTGTCGATGATGATGATGATGAGGAGAGAAGTTACAGTCTATTTATATAACTTAAGTTCTTAACTAAAGCTGGAACAAAGAAGAAAGAGGAGTGTCACACTTGTGAGACGTTGACAGCTATAGAAGATGGCTTTAATTTTCGCATGAGTTATTTTCTTTCCTTTATGGGGTTAGTAATGAAATAACTTGATTTTCAATTTTTTAGACTTCACATGGCAAGTTTAATGGAAATTTTCCAAAAGATATTTTTTCTTGTATTTTTTAAATTTGATGTTTTAAAATCCCATTGCCAATATCTACTTTTGAATATTCATCACTGCAGCAGAATACCGGGATTATTTGAAACACGTTTCACCCAAGACAATAATTTTATTTTTGAAAGAATCTAATGCTTTTGCTTTGTCATTGTCTTTTTGTTTTGTATCTCAAATAAAAGTATGAGTCATCAGCATTTTTTTCGATATGATTGTTTTGCAAACAATTATAATAAAGAAATAGTTTCATTTGCCTGAGAAGTTAGATGCGTGTTTTACCAAATTATAAAATATTTCGTCATTTTTAAATAAAAAACATTGACCTTGGCTATGATGCGTTTCTGAATAGCTCGTGCTGGAAGCTTGTAGCTATTTACCTGTACTAGTAGTAAATTTCTGAACAATTTTCGCATTTTTAATGAATATTCTATTGCAGGTCCAACTCCACGGAAAAGGCACTGCAACACGAAATTGAGAAATTGTCTGACTTTAAATTAAGACGGACCCAAAAACAAAACCAGTAAAGAAAGTCGGGCGGGGCCGACTTTATGATACCCTACACCACTTTGCTAATTTAGTAGAGCTCCGCATAACATTTAAAAGT